GCAACTGTTGTTGGGTTGTTTTTTTTTTTTTTTTTTGCATATCTAGGGGGGAAACCCACCCCTGCTGCATACTTAGGAGGGGAAGCTCCATTTTGCTTGTTCTCGGAACGGGCAACCAACAGGCCCTGCAATCGAATGTCCTGCCTCACCTCACAGAAAGCGGAGGGACATTGTTCTCTCCGGTGAACATACGTTGAGATATGGCTATGGCCAGCATTCAGGGGTGTGTGTGGTTCTGTAGAAATCCATCCTCTCCCCCCGTGTCAGTCAGCTTAGAAAAGGAATCACCAATATGGTGCCCACCAAGTTTTTTCCATAAAGTGGGTGGGGCCAGGTACACCTCTGAGTAGCAGGGTGTGTGTGAACAAGATCTTGGGGTAAGGGTGGACCGTAAGTTACCTATGAGCAGCCAGTGTGATGCGGTGACCAAAAAAGGCTACTGCAGTCTTGGGGTGTCTCAACAGAGGCACAACATCCAGTTTGCAAGATGTGAGATCGTCCCGCCGTACCCTGAACTGGTCAGGCCGCACCTCCAGTTCCGGGGGCCCCGCTTCCAAAAGGATGTGGACGGAATGGAGCGTGTGCAGACTAGGAGAGTGAGGAGGACGACTGAAAGGCTGAGGGGGGGATGGGATGGCTCTCATGAAGCATCTGAAGGGCTGTCACTCAGAGGAGGAGGAGGAGGGCAGGGAGCTGTCCCTGTGGGCAGCAGAGGAGAGGACTCACAGGAATGGGTTTAAATTAAGGGCAGGAAGATAGTGGCTGGGTATGAGGTAAAACGTTTTGACAGTCAGAGTTCTTCAAGAGTGGAATCAGCTGCCAGGGGTGGTGGTGCTGGTGCGCTCCCCCTCACTGGCAGTCTTTAAGCAGCGTCTGGACAAACTCTCGTCAGGGATGCTCTAGGCTGATCCGGCACTGAGCAGGGGGTTGGACTAGATGGCCTCTGTGGCCCCTCCCAACTCTGTGTGATTCTCTGATTCTAGGGAGGGCTTTTGCCCAGCAGGGCTTCTGATTGGCCACTGGAGATCTGATTGACTGTGCAAATTCAAGCATCACTGCGTTGGCAGCAGCTGCCGCCACCCCAGCACAAGGATCTCCATTTTGTGACTGACAGTAACTGGCATGTAAGCGAGAAAATACGTTTGGACGATACGTTCTTTTTAAAAGGCCTCTTGTTCAGCAG